GTGGTGCCAATGAAGAACGATCACGTATGAACGATCACAATAGAAGCACGTTATAGAACTGTTTATCAAGAAAAGAAAATTTCTTAATCGTTCAACACTGCGGAACAAGTGTGCGTTCTAACAGCGACTTTACAGTTCTGGACGCGTGGATGTAATGTTTATATTTCGAATAATGTTAATTGATAAGTTAGTTTCATCATTTGATTATTTAGACTCACAATGATGCTGCGACTAGATGTTAACCTAATACGAAAATTATGTAAAGGCATCCAGAAGCATAAAGTCGCTGTTAGAACGCACGCGTCCGCAGTATCAAAAGAACTATTAAATTGCGACCTGATGATGATTCCTTGGGAAAGGTTTCACCTTCGTCAGGAGTAGAATACAATGTCAAAGTCAAGGTCAATTTCAAGGCAGATCTTTTACATGTATTTTTATCGAAGGTGTAGAATTCGTCTAGAGACGAGACGAGAGACGAGAAAGAGAGAGAGAGAGAGAGCAGTCGATTAAAAAACATAACAAAGATGACAGAATCAGTCAATTAATAAAGATAAGGGAATAAAAGACGCGTTCTAGCAGCTTGATCGAAAGAGAGAGAGAGAGAGAGAGAGAGTATGTACATACGTACTGACAGCCTCCCATAGGTGAATGGTACCGTCTCGGATGACGTAGCTGATCCAACAGACGGTGACGATGTAAAAGCACGCGTCTCTCATCAGGGGTTTCAGCAGGACTCGAAAGGGCTTGACTACCGCAACAGAGCCGGCGATAATCGCCGTCACGAAGACACCGGCGCCGATTAATTCCGTGAACATTATTATCCCTTCGTCGGCGCCCGATACGAGGGACGTGAAGATGTCAGGAGCACCGTTTCCAAATGCCAATATCGTCACGCCGGCTATATTGTCCGACAGCCGCAAAACACCGGCTATCACCGCCAGTGATGGGCAGAAGCTACAGAGGACAGAGGAAATGGAAAAAATGGCGAGACAATCGTAGAGTGTTGAGGGGGTTGAGGAACGTGCAACGTGCGACGCCTTGCTAATCGGATTTTCATTATGCTACCTTCGACACGTTCAACATCAGTATCAGATTATTTCTGAATGGAAATCCGTAGCGTTCAATTTAAAGGATCACAAAGGATCGATTTTTCGTTCGACGAGTTGAACATTGTTCTCTCAGTAGAATTCGTAACTTTGAACGCGTCGGACTTTCCCCTTCAAAAACTTTTGTCCAGGAAAATGTAAGATAACGTAAAAGTATCGATCTTTGATTCGATATATTATCTAACGTCCCGTGAAAATAACAAACTTTTTAGAATCCACTTCATTATGAATTCACATGTAATTTTCGAGGAAGAAGATCTAATTAAAACTTCCGATGCAATTCGTTCGATTCAACAATCTTGTCCTATATATGTTCCTCTTCCAGAAAACTCCTCTACACCTGCGGAAGTTTCTCACAAAATTTCCAAACTTTTAATTTGCCTTCTGCGTCCAAATCGATATCCTCCCACATACCGTGGAAGCGTGTTTGTAGAACCGAAATATATATATATATAATATACATATATTCGGTGAAGAGCGAAGGAAAAGAGAAGGTGCGGCGACGATTAATCGAGAACAATCAGTACGACGTGACGTTTGATTTCGAGACATAAAAGTCAGCTGACAGATGTTTCATCTCTGGCTGATTAACTTCCACGTACGTATACGTCTAACAATAAGTAGATCTT